CTGCTGATGGGTGTGGCCTATTATGCTAATGAGTTCCTGCTGGGCTTTTTCTACCAAAAAAGCCCTGCCTGCACTAATGGGGTCCCCCCTTCAGATTCTAATGTGCACTTCCAATGTGAACCCCAGACTGAGAATTCAACAAACTTGTCTCAACCACATTCTATGCAGATTTACTCAGAAGGAAATCCCAGGACCTGCACCCCACCCCTGTGGACCACCAGTTCACCACAGATAGCACCACTGAGGATTACTGAGAGAGAACTGAATTGTCTTGAACACCCAGAAACACTGTTACTGTGCACGAGACCCTTTATATGTCATAGTGTTGTACATCAATGTGTCTAGCAGAAACAGCAGATGAATTTCTGAACTGTTCGGTTTCTGGAATGTTCTGCAATTGAAACTGTACACCTAAATGGAAATAATTTTTTTTTGAACTACAGAAAGAAAGAAAGGCAAAAGGAAAATCCCACTAATTTACCAATTCTTGTTTGCAGACCCTAATTTCCTCCCGGTGCCCACCACTAAGCCCGGAGGCCTGGAAGAAGAAAGGGGGGCAGTCTCCAGCCGAAGTAGGTTTCGATTCCTCCCACTTTTCGAGCAACACCCTTCTGTCTTGCTTAAAACGTTATGTAATGCTTGCTCTTCTCCACTCTCCACTTAATGGAATGTTTTCCTAATGTAGATGGCCAGTTATGCTAAGAGATGCGATCATTATTTTAACATTAACAAATTATTTATTAATACAGCATGGTTCTCCTTGCACAGCTCACAGGAGTGAGTAGTACACTGGAAAATCAGAATTGTACGGGCTGGATCCAAACGACTGCAAACAAGACATCCACTGCTGCAATTAGGGTTGCCAACGCTAGGGTGTGAAATTCCTGGAGATTTGGGGTTGGAGCCTGGAGAGGCAGGGCTTGGGGTGGGGACCTCAACAGGGTATAACATCACAGAGACTGCCCTCTGAAACTCCCATTCTATCAAGGGAACTGTTCTTTGTAGTCTGAAGAGCTCCAGGCCCCCCCTTGGAAGTTTAAAGATCGTAACAACCAAAAAGTGCTTCAGGAAAAGATCCAAATAAAGGAAAACTGGATCCCAACTGCGCTCAAGTAATTTTTAAATATTGAAGTGAACAGAATACAAAAATTATTCGTGAAGTGCAAAATACATAAGATGAGTACAAAATATATACAGGTATTCAACAGTTATTGGTTGTTGTATAGGTTGTTAACGATAATCTCCGGAATGTTCAACAGTTTCGAAAGATATCTTCTTCTGAACAGATGAAGGAAAATGAAGAACCTTGTAGAAATAACATTGGTAACAATACAAGGTTCTACAAGGCTATTCTACATGGTTCTTCATTTTCCTTCATCTGAGCAGCTTACAAACTCTTTTCCCTTTCCCTCCCCACAACAGACACCCTGTGAGGTAGGTAGGGGCTGAGAGAACTCTGACAGAGACTGCTCTTTTTCCAAGAACAGCTCTTATCAGAACTACGGCTTGCCCAAGGTGCAAGTGGAGGAGTGGGGAATCAAACCCGGTTCTCCCAGATTAGAGTCCGCGCACTTAACCACTACACCAAACTGGCCCACACTGGCTCACTGAAGGGCACCATAGGTTCTAATCCAGTCCTTCTAAGGATATACGACCAGTCATTTGCTCATCCTTGTAAACTACCTTGAACATTATCAAAGGAGGTCTATGGCAGCTTCACCCATCTGAGCAGAGCCTTCTGCAGGGGCCAACCTGAAAATGGGACAGAATCAGTAGCTGCCTGTACGTGGGCCTTCTCCATTGGCGCCCCCACTCGTGGAATGGCCTGCCTGAGGCTGACAGGAAGGCTTCCACTCTCCTGGCTTCCCATAAGCGATGTAAAAATGAATTATTCAAGAGGGCTTTTCTTCGCAGGCAATAGGGTAGCACTGTACAAAATGATTCGCAAAGATACAATCAAGATGGGTAGCCATGTTAGCAGGAGAAAAGAGCAGGAGTCCAGTAGCACCTTTGTTGTTGTTGTTCAGTCGCACAGTCGAGTCCGACTCTTCGCGACCCCATGGACAAGATCACGCCAGGCCCTCCTGTCTTCCGCCGTCCTCTGAAGTTTGCTCAATTTCATGTTCGTTGCATCTATGACACTGTCTAACCATCTCATCCTTTGCCGTCCCCCTCTTCTTTGACCTTCAATCTTTCCCAGCATCAGGGTCTTCTCCAGGGAGTGCTCCCTTCTCATTGGGTGGCCAAAGTATTTACCTTTTGACCTCCTACTTTAGCATTCCAGTCCCATATGATGATAAGGACATCTTTTTTTGGTGTTAGTTCTAGAGGTGTAGGTCTTCATAGAACCAATCCACTTCAGCCTCTTCTGCATCAGTGGTTGGACTTGGATTACTGAGAATGTTGAATGGTTTGAATTGGATTTGGACTGAGATCGTTCTGTCATTTTTGAGATTGTATCCCATTACTGCCTTTCTCACTCTCTTGTTGACTATAAAGGCCACATCATTTTTTCTATGGGATTCTTGGCCACAGTAGTAGATAGTCTTCTGAGTTAAATTCACCTATTCCCGTCCACTTTAGTTTACTGATTCCCAAGATGCCGATGTTCAGTCTTGCCACCTCATTTTTTACCACGTCAAGCTTACCTTGATTCATAGATCTTACATTCCAGGTTCTTATGAAGTATTATACTTTGCAGCATCGGACTTTCATTTCACCATCAGACACATCCACAGCTGAATGTCCTTTCGGCTTTGGCCCAGCCGCTTCACTCTTTCTGGGGTTACTTGTACTTGCCCTCTGCTCTTCCCCAGTAACATATTGGACACCTTCCTACTTTGTGAGCTCCTGGCATTAAAGTTGTGAGCCAGCGATTTGGCTACTGCATAGATTAGTTTGCTCTGGAGCCATCCTTCCTGAGCTAAGGCAAAAACGTGTGAGCCGGAGGCGAAAAAACTGTGAGCTAGCTCACACTAACTCAGCTTAGAGGCTGGCATCCCTAATCAAACCTTAACGATGGAATAAACAGGGTCCGTCTTTTAAGATGCCGGAATAAACTTCTATTTTATTTTGCCGCCGTCGACTAACAAGGCTGTCCCTCCTGAACTAAGATCGGGCTGTTCTCATGGGTGCTCCACAGTTCACTTAGCAAAGCAAATAAAAGAACCAGTGTCCATCTAAAGAGACTGAGTTCATACGGAGCTCCTCTTTAGCCCACCAGCCTTAGAATTTGTTGACTGTGGGAGCCGGGAATTGGACTTGGAGCCGCCTGCAAAGCGAATGGCTGAACCGCTGCTGAGCAACAGCCTTGGGTCCACGTGCAGAAAGAGATCAAAGGTGACCTCGGTACAATGGTTGTGTCTGATGTTCTTTCTAAGTCTCAAGAGAAACAGGAGCGCTAGGAGGAGAAGGGGAGGCAAACAGAGCTGACATACTGTTTGCAAAGGTGAATCACAGTGTTCTAATACCTTCTTCAGAGCCTGCGGTGACTCAAGTGGTTAAGATGCTGAACTGCAGACCGGAAGGTTGGTAGTTCAGCAGTTCGAGACCCGAGTGCCGTGTGACGGAGTGAGCTCCCGTCTCTGGCCCCAGCTCCTGCCAACCTAGCAGTTCGAAAGCAAGAAATTGCAAGTAGATAAATAGGTACCACTTCGGTGGGAAGGTAACAGCGTTCCATGCGACTTGGCGTCTAGTCATGCCGGCCACATGACCACGGAAACGTCTTTGGACAGTGCTGGCTCTTCGGCTTGGAAATGGAGATAAGCACCGCATCCCTAGAGTCGGATCCGACCGGCTTCCAAGCAAGGGAAATCTTTACCTTTTACCTTCCTTCAGCTGACTGCTTTAGGGATGCTAGAGCCCCTCAGTGGGGGTTCCCCACTGCCAGGCCCAACCTCTCCACCACCAATCAGCTGGCTGGTGGGGTGGTTGAATTACCCCCCCCACACACAAGAGAGGAACACCCAACATTTCAGGGATGTGTCTACGTGACTTCTACATGACCTGGAAATGATGTAGGCATATCAAGGATGTTGGGACGATGCTCTCTGGTTTTGGGGGCAAAAGCTCTATGGTAGAAGCCAATTCTACCATAGAGTTTTTGCCCCCAAACCAAAGTGTTGTCCCGACATGCCTACACCACTTCTGGGTCATGCTGGAAGTCACGTGGGCGTTGTTGTTGAAACGTGAAACTCCCGGCTCCCAGTAAAGTCCCACCATCCCTCACTGGCTGCCCAGAGGGACCTGGCAACCCTAGCCTGAATAGCCCAGACAAGACTGATCTCATCAGGACTTGGAAGCTAAGCAGAATCGGCCATGGGTAGTCCTTGGATGGGAGATTACCAAGGATGTCCAGGGTTGCTATGCAAAGGAAGGAAATGGCAAACCACTTCTGTTCACCTCTTGCCTTGAAAACCCCATGAGAGGTTGACATGCCAAGAGGCTGTGATTTGACAGCTTATTATTATTATTATTATTATTATTATTATTATTATTACTATTATTAACACCATCCTCACTGGAGGGACTGGCTTCCGCATGGAGATACACACTAGAAGCTGTTTTACCCCTTGCTCTTTTGTTTCATGTGTGTGTTTGTTTGCAACTAGCATCTTCGTCGCTGGAATCCAGAGACATCCTTGAAGACCACCAGAGCCACGAAGCACTGCTGGAGGATCTGCAGAACGACATCCAACAGGCAACGAGCAATTTGGGAGTCTTACAGAAGGCCTTTCATTACAACATCAGTCGCCCAGAAGTAGAAGCCAGCCGCAACCAAACAGGTGAGAGTTCAGCCAGAGAAGAATGCATGCAGATCAGCGACATGAAGCTAAAAGGAGAATAATGGATGTTTTTTATATAGCTGGAGAGCTGGGGTTAGGCCCATCTCCACTCCATTATCCTGAAAACCCTAACGTCTCACTTGTATATACAATGACCACATCGATCTACCTCACCATCTCCTGCCCTTCCCTGAGCATACAAATGACTTACGGAAGATGTGGAGTGCACTGATATGGACCTTGCACTCTTCTAGAAGTATGGAGTCTGGATGTCTTGGGTGGTTCCTTACAAATATGGCTTTTAAATTCATGGAGGCCAGTCTTTCAAAGCTACCAGTCATGAGAAATAAATATAACTTCTGTGCTCTATGCTCTGATGCTGGGAGCAGAATGTAGATAATTTTGAAGGGGGAGACCTGTGTTAGTCAAGAAACTTACTGGGGGACCTTGGTGGTCTATCAACGTAATTGTAGGGTTGTTCTAAGGATAAAATGGCACTGGGGTGGGAACTATGGCTTTTCTCCAATGAGATCTGCAAGTGGAGCACAGCTTGTGAAGATCACAAAAGTGGGTCTCTCCCACTTCTCGGCTACTGTAGCCCACCGAGACCTCTCCTCAGATTTTATTCCTGTGTCAGTGGACTCTCAGGAGCAGCACAGGGGGCAAAGTCAAGGTTTGCAGTGGTATTCAGTCTCTCAGACTCAGTTTCCCCTTTGTGAAACCCAGGTACCAGTCACACGGGCCGGAAAATGCGGGGGGGAAGCGTGGCTGTTTGCCCTGGAAGAAAGTAACGCACGGCAGCCCGATCAGAAGTCCTTTCGAGGTCCCGTGGTTAGGCGTTAGGTGCAGATCAGACGGCTAGTCCGCAGTGCGGCAAAGAAGCAGCATGGTGCGTTCCCACTGGCACTCGCGCCGCGCTGCTTCTGTGGCAAATGCTTCTTCCTGTTTGTGCGCATGCGCCGTTGGGCGCTTTTGCGCATCCTGCGGAGACTTGGGGGGGAATCCCCTTGTTCGCGACGGAACATCCGTGGCCCCCAGATACCACAAAAGTCCACTGGAAACACGATCAGACGCCCGCCCTTGCCCCGCAGTTTCTGGAAACTAGTAACTCATAGGTACTAGTTTTTTACTCTGCATCTTCGGCGGGAAGCCACGGGAACACTACGCTTCCCAGATGTTGCTGTGTGATTGCGCCCGGAAAATCCGCCTATCTTTCATATCTTCAGCGCAGCAAATGCTCCATGTGACTGGAGCCCCAGAGACTCATTTAACTTTTTCAAGCCAGAGAAGAACTTGGGGTGTGGCCATGACACTAAGCAGCAGTTATCTAGGTGACTTGCTGCTCTATATTTAACAAGCTGAAAGTCTTCTTCCTTCAAGAAAGTATAGAAGCAAATTGTGAAACCGAAATGTACTTCAGTCTCCTGAGGAAGCACGAGAAATAAGAGTCCTTACAGAATTTAATTGGGCAGTCAAAAAGGCAGGGAGAAAATATGATGTATGCCGTTTGATGTTATAAGAGAAAGTGCAATACAGTGAAATGGAAGACGTTGTCCCATTGACAGCATTTCTCTGCAAGAAAAACATTTTTTAAAAAGGTGTGGAACTTTAAATGAAATACTAAGCAATGGAATAATACGTAGTATTTTATACAAGGTGGATATTTCCATAGCTATGAAGAATGCAACTCAGTGGATCTGGTGGTGTTGCTAAATTCTTTTGTGTGTTTTTGTATTTTGCCAAGGAACGGCCTGTAGGGATCAACATTTTTTGGACATTTTAAAACGAAATTGTATTATTTTATTTATTTATTTATTAGACTTTTACCCCACCCTCCCGCTGAAGCGGCTCAGGGCGGCTTACAATAGTTTAAAAACCAGTATAAGAATTAATACAACCTCACATCTAAAAAATACAATCAGTAAAATAACCAAATATAACTTATTAAAATCAAAATTACAGTTTAAGCATGGCGGCCATCCGTTATAAAGTGCTAGAACGATCAATGTGATCTGGGCTATTAAACACTTGCCGGAACAGCTCGGTCTTTACCGCTCTACGGAATTGGTGGAGATCCCGCAGAGCTCGAAATTCGTTTGGGAGCTGATTCCACCATACTGGTGCAGCTAGGGAAAACGCCCTAGTTCTTGTCGCTGTTAACTTAGCGTCCCTAGGGCCAGGGGGGGACTAAGCGATTCTGCAACTCAGATCTCAGTGCTCTTGGGGGAACATACGGGGAAAGGTGGTCCCTCAGGTAGACAGCCCCCAGACCATTTACAAGCACCTTCTGATGTTTTCTTGAGTGGGATTTCCCCCTCCGATGACTTCAGTTTCAGTTGCCTGACAGAGCCATCCTAATTGGAGTTACTCCTTTCAAAGTCAATTAATGTCAGTAGGCTTAAAAGAGTAAGTAGGTTTGAGTTCCATTAGCACCTTAGAGACCAACAAGATTTTGGGGGGTATTAGGGAGTCAAAGCTCCCTTCAACCGACCTTTGACTCTTGAAAACTTCTACCCCCGCCATCTTCTTGGTCTCTTAGGTGCTAATGGACTCCAGTCTAGCTGTTCCACAGCTGGCCAACACAGACACCCCCACTGAAATTATCTTCTTAGAAGGGTGGTACTTGGGGTTGCCAGGTCTGGGTTGGAAAACACCTGGAGACTTTGGGGGTGGAGCCAGGAGAGGGTGGGGTTTGGGGAGGGGAGGGGCCTCAGCATGGTGCAATGCCATAGAGTCCACCCTTCAAAGCAGCCATTTTTCTCCAGGGGAGCTGATCTCTGTCAGCTGGAGATCAGTTGTAAAAGCGGGAGATCCCCAGGCCCCACCTGGAGACTGTCAACCCTAGTGGTACTTGGGGCTGCACTGTGTACCTCATCTAGTTACAGTGGCAGAGGTTCAAAGGTTCAAAGCTCAGCACCCTTAGCAAGGTTGGCAAAATGTCTGTTGTGGTGGCCTTTATGTTGTGGTGCTCTTGGCTTGAGGACGATTTGGCTCTACAACCATAAGAAGGCGATTCCTGGACCAGAGGTTTATATCTGAGAACCACTTGGCGTGTGATTGCCCTTTTAGAGGCCTCATTTGTTTTTTTACTCTGTGCCTGGTGGTTTATCTTGAAACAACTTGCTTCTGGTCCTTATTGAATTTATACTTTGTATTTACATGAGTGCACTACATTTTTATAATAGCCAATATGTTCCTCACTATTGACCTCTGAGGAAGGCCTATGTAGGCCGAAACGCGTCAGGTCAGATTTATAAGCCCTTGTGTTTTATCGTTTGTTATTTATACATAACGTATGATTGGGCCCTTATATAATTTTAAAATTTGTGATTAATAAATACATGTAATTTTATATATTTATTATTTTTTATATATTTCCTTCATTTTTAATATTGGCCCCCTTTCTTTTCCTTTTTTAAAAACATTTTATTAATAGGATATTATAACAAATTCAACATTAAATAAATATTTTCAACCCATATCCCTTTCTTTAACTCCCCTCCCCTCTTCTGGCTTCCCGCAGTGGTCCCACCCCTTCCCTTTGTTTTCTACTTTTCTAATTCTCACGTCTTCACACATCAACAATTAAAGTTAATTGGTAACCATTTCTTACACATATTTCTTATCTCTATCCAATATATCGGAGTTCATCAATTATTTTTTAGTAATTATCAAAACAAAATAGATTATTTTTCACATCCCAATATTTCTCCAGATATTCTTTAAAGTCTATCCAGTCTGCCATAAACTCCTCTGGATCTTTATTGTTCAATTTCCTTGTCAATTTATCCATTTCCACTATAAAAAGCAGTTTTTTAATCCATTCCCAAATTTCAGGCACTTTTTCTTGTTTCCAATATTGAGCAAAAGTCATTCTGGCTGCTGTGATCAAATACCACATCAAAGTTCTCTTAGTCATATTCACGTCTTCCATTTTAAGTCCCAACAGTAGTACTTCTGGCTCTTTCTTAAAATTACACTTTAAAATTTTTTGCATCTCATTATGTATATCTGTCCAATATTTATTTGCTTTGTCACAAGTCCACCACATATGATAGAATGAACCTATATTGGCCCCCTTTCTTGACTAACCTTTGTCAGGTTCTGGATTCTATGTTTTAGGTTCAGTTTTTTCCCCCTTCCCCTTTTTTTCCCGTGGAGGCCTTTAGGGCCAGCATATATACTGTGAAGTTTAATGTGATGTTTTATTTTCCTGTGCAATTCTCCCGTTGTTCCTATGCGATCTGGGGATTCTTACTTTTGTTATCTGGCTTGAGCCTATAAGCAAATGCTTGCTTGCATTAACTTGTATTCTTTTGGTTGTATACTCTCTTTCAGGACTACAGGAACAATTCCTCCAGCAAATGGTGGTTTCCCATGTAGAGAGTTTCTTAAAGGAACGTTTTAACCCAGTCTGGTCTAGCTTCAATAAAAGTCTACAGGATCTTTCCACCATGCTGAAAAATCTCTCGCACCACGTCGAGGCCAATCGGAAAAGCATAGAGAAATTCCAAGAAAGCGCTGTGCCAAAGAAGGACTTCCAGGAGCTTGGAACCAAGTTTGAATCCAAAATTCAGGAAAATGTGGGGAGAGCGGACCAGACGAAGAGAGATATCGACACTCATTTACACTTGCAGCAGGCAGCCATGCACTACAATCTCACCATGATCAAAGCAGACACAGACATGAAGCTGAAGAGATATCATAAGATACAACACTCTTATTTGTCAGCCTTAAACAACAGCCTAACAGACATGAGACAGGAACAAGATAATATTCACAGTGAGCTAGAGACCCTGAACAGAAACTTGGCAGGATTCCCGGTGCAATACAGCAGCCTAAATGAGGAAGCAACCGAAACCGACATTCGGCTCCTCAATCAGACCCTAGTAGGGCACACTCAACAGCTAAAGGAACTCTATGAAGAATCTGACGAGTTCTACGATGATTTTAACAAGTTCCAGGTTTCCATTAATGCATTCAAAGCCAGCTCAAAGAGTGAAATGGAGGAGCTCAGAGTGGCCTTGATTGAGAAAAGTCTTATTATAGAGGAATACAAGGAAGACTTGGAAAGGAAGATCCTAGCCCTGAACAATAGTCTGGAAAATATTAGAGAGAGCCACTGGGATCTAGAGAGGTCTATGAAAGCATGCCATTGTGTGAAAATACCTTTGGACTCTGATGTGGAAGAGCAAGCAAACGCCACTCGTGCAATCAGGGAGGAAATGAAGCTATTTGAGACACGTCTGAAAGCTCTCAAGAATGAAATTGATGATCTCGCCACAGCCTTTCGCCTTTTCCACCAACCTCTAGATTTCCAGCAGAAACAGAGTCGAGAGCTGGAAGGCGAAGTCTCTCTTCTTAAGGCCCAGGCCGAAACATTGTCCGAGGATCTCGGTGCCATGAGAAAAGCGGACGAGAGGATGCATTGGCAGATCAAGTATCTCAACAGCTCTTTTAACTCTCTCCTGGTAGATGCGATGAGGCATGAGACAGCACTGGAGGCCGTGCTTGGAGAAGAAATTATGGAACTCTTGACCGAAGAAGATCCTAGCTCCTTAATATCATCTCTAGATCAGCTTCAGGTGGCTTTCAGACTAATTTCGGACAACCTCGAGAAGCAGAATATCACCATGGAATCTCTAATGAAGAGAATTTACTCTTTGGAGGTGGATCGCGACAACACTTCCAGTGGGCATAAATCTCTTTTGCATCCCGTCCTTGAAGAGCAAACAGAGAACTCAGTGAAAGAAGTCAGTGTCCAACATGGCGGCGTGGAGCATATGGAGCCAAATCACGAAGCTGCCATGGAGGACGTCCTGGATAATCCAGCATACCATGACATCATGATCCTAAAGAAAGAGATTGGACACCTTAGCAGGGAAATGAAGAAGTATGAATTACAAAAGGATCGCGCCAGTCTCTGCTGTAATCACACTGCAGTCAGCATGATGGATCCATTCAATGTTTCACTGGAGAATCTGAAGGAAGAACTTGCATTGACCAAACAAGCCTTCGATGAGCATCTGAAGATCTTTCAAAAGCTGTTCGGAAGTATCCAAGACGTAGCTGCCACAAATGCGAGTTTGGATGCGGCAAGGATTCAGTCGATGATGGGCAGACAGATGAAAAAGCAGCTTAAAGTTCAGGAACGGCAAAAAACGAGGGACAAGAATGAGGCCAGCCACCACAGAGAAGGTACTTTGAATGGAAGGAACAAGATACAGACAGAGGTCTCGGAGGCAGGTGGGTGGCTCACAAATTCCGCATCGTATATTCTATCACGATCGAGCTTAGCAATGCATACGCAGATAGTAACTAATCAAAACCAAGTCCTCTGCTTGTTAATAGAGTAACTATACCTGTGGTGCTGCGGAGCAGCGGTGGCTCAAGTGGTTAAGACGGTGAACTGCAGGCTGTGGAAGGTCAGTAGTTCAGCAGTTCGAGACCCGGGTGCCGCATGACGGAGTGAGCTCCCGTCTCTAGTTCCAGCTCCTGCCAACCTACCCTGTTTCCCCGAAAATAAGACCTACCCCAAAAATAAGCCCTAGCAGGATTTCTATGCATTTGTGGTATAAACCCTAGTGTGTCTTCTTGAGAAAAAATAAATATAAGACAGTGTCTTATTTTCGGGGAAACACGGTAGCAGTTCGAAAGCAAGAAATTGCAAGTAGATAAATAGGTACCACTTCGGTGGGAAGGTCACAGCGTTCCGTGCGCCTTGGTGTTTAGTCATGCTGGCCACATGACCACGGAAACGTCTTCGGACAGCGCTGGCTCTTCGGCTTTGAAACGGAGATGAGCACCGCAACCCTAGAGTCGGACTCGACTGGCTTTCGAGTAAGGGAACCTTTACCTTTTATACCTAATCTAAACTGAAAAATTAATAATGATCAAGAATAGTTGGGAAATATTAAGAAGCTGTCGTTATACTGCAGCCTGGCTTACAGTGGAAGAAATTCAAAACAACAGGAAGGAGGGCAATTTGGGAGACATGTAACCAGTAATGTGCTCTAGTGTGGATAGTGGTTAGTGCTGGACTACGAGCAGACTCATGTTCAAGAAGGACAAACATGCACATAAGTACTACAGACTAGGCAGAGGGTGGGGCAGTGTCTCTGTAAGCTGCCCCTTAACCCTGGTCCATCCATGCTCCACATGCAGATGGTCTCATGTTCCTGCCGAACCTGGTGCCTCTCCCGTGTATATATATCATTGGTGTCCATTCGCTTGTGCTTCCTGCTTTCTTGGGTTGTCAGAGACAAGCTGTGCCATGATACACCCTCCTTTCTTGGAGTATATTGCCCAATGCTTCCCATTCTGTCTATAAAGCAGGGACTTTTTCTCCCTATCTGTCTGAAATTTGTCCAGGAGAAACATTTGCATGGGAGGTCCAATACCTAAGAGTTTCATCCAGTTTGGCTGGACAGTGAGGCAAAGCAATATGGCAGGAAAAGTGTTTTCCATGGAAACCAAGAGCAATGAAAACACGAGTTAAATAGATACAACAAATAGCTTTCATAATGGAATTTGCCAAAGCCCAATCAAGTCTTTTTTAAAAGGAAAGGAACCCAGACTGAGATTTTAGCATGTGTGCATCACTACTCTAATAATAACTGTGTGTTGTCATTTGCAACTGACTTGTGGCAATCCCAAAATTGCTCTGCTCCCGCGGTTGGGAGACAACACACCTCGCCTCCTGTTCTTCTTTAGAGATGAGCATTACTGCGCCAAGCGAGAGACCGGAATGCGAAAGCAATTTACACAGACACTGAAAGAACATCCCCACCCCCAGGGCAGCATAGCTGACAGCCTCCTCCAAACCCATTCCAGTTGGGGCTACATGACTCCAGCACTTGAACTGATTAAAAAGATGAAGGGGCAGCGGGGCGGCATGAAAGACCACAGGGCAACCAACCTCATTTAAGGAATTTGTGAAGTGGTGGTGGTGGAAAGTACTGAAGTTGCAGCTGACGTACGACCACCCCACAGGGTTTTCAAGGCAAGAGACAAACGGAGGTGGCTTGCCGTGGCCTGCCTCTGCGTAGCAACCCTGGACTCCCTTGGTGGTCTCCCATCCAAGTACTAACCAGGGCTGACCCTACTTAGCTTCTGAGATCTGCCAAGATCAGGCCCGCCTGGGCCAACCAGTCAGGACCCGTAAACTTGTAGAAGATTGAAAACAAAGCTTTATTGATTTTCTCTTCTTACTTGGGCAATTAAAGGCCCAGGAGCCCCTCTATTAAGAAGGTAATCCTATTCTACATTCCGGCACACCTAACAGGTTTGCAGCAAAAACCACAGCACCGGAGCAAGCGTTGTGTGTCCCAGAGGAATCAATTGTCTCCACTTGGCAACTGATTCTCTTCTCTCCCCCTACCGTAACAGTCTGTGGGTAATCGGGACGGCTCCCTCATGAGTCCCTGTGCCCACTTCGCTGCCCACTGGCATACTGTGCAATGGCATAGGCAAGAAGACGATGGGGCAACGTTTTCCAGATATCATAGTGGAGGAGGGGGGAAAGAATGATTTTTTTCATGGGAAGGCCATTTCACAAGCATCTCTGTAACACGTACTCTAGCAACATAGGTACCCACAACTTCAGCCACCTCCCTGCATTTGTCTCCTGCCTCCAGATAACTGCAGCACTAAATGTTACACTATTGTTAACAGAGACTTGAGAGTTACTAGGATGGCACAGAATCCCTTTGCCTTGTGGCTAAGTGGAAGACATTGTGTGTGCCCAGATTTAGCAGAAGGAAATACAGCTCCATCGAGAGTCAGTTTGGTGTAGTGGTTAAGTGTGCAGACTCTAATCTGGGAGAACCGGGTTTGATTCCCCACTCCTCCACTTGCACCTGGCTGAATGGCCTTGGGCAAGCCGTAGTTCTGATAAGAGCTGTCCTTGAAAAAGAGCCGTTTCTGTCAAGAGCTCTCTCAGCCCCACCCACCTCACAGGGGCTGATTTTGCACTAGAGCTGCCTCACGGTTGCGCCGCCGTTTGCCCCCACCCTATTAGTCAATTTCACACCTGAAGCTGCGGGGCTGCATTTGACCCGTGGCTTCGCCCGATTTCCTCCGCAGTGTCGTGATCCTCAAAAAACAGGAGGGGAAGGGAAAGGAGTTTGTAAGCCGCTCTGAGACACCTTTGGGTAGTGACGGGCGGGGTATAAATCCAACCTCCTCCTCCTCCTCTTCTTCAATTGCCAGCTGCCGGTTTCCGGCTGATGAAACTCTAGGGTAGCACTTTCCATCTCTGTCTCAAAACTCCACCTCCTTCAAGCCTATTGGAAGCTTCTAGACTCTATCAAGTAGCTTTTTGGTCAATGTTCTGAAAAGAACACATCCTGTCATAAAGACATTATGCCTTTATAACGAAAGCACTTGAAAGAAGCTGGATCTGGAGCTGTTCCATCTGGGATCTTTTTGTGCTGCTGAAGGGCCCCCTTTTCCAGGTTTAGCTGTGTTAAAATTAAAAAGAAAAAGTTTGTTCTCTCTCTGCCATTTTTCCTGTGATCCTAATGTAATTGAGGGACACCCATGAACCAGTGCCCCACCCTGGATCAGATCTCGGAAGCTAAGCAGGGTCGGCCCCGGTTAGTACGTGGATGGGAGACCACCAAGGAAGTCGGGGGTCGCCACGCAGAGGCAGGCCATGGCAAAACCACCTCTCCTTGTCTCTTGCCTTGAAAACCCTACAGGGTCATGACAAGTCGGCTGCTCTTTCCATCATCATGAATCAGTACTAGTTACCAGCAATGTTCCCTCTAAGCTGTGGAGTCCTGTTAGCAAAAATTCTACTCTGTGAGCTATTAAAGTTAAATTCTGCTCTGTGAGCTATTAAAGTTGTGAGCAGGTGAATTGGCTACTGAATAACTTAGTTTGCTCTGGAGCCCTCCTCCCTGAGCGAAGACAAAAATGTGTGAGCCGGAGGCTAAAAAACTGTGAGCTAGCTCACACTCACTCAGCTTAGAGGGAACACTGGTTACCAGCCCCTGTTCCCTTGTGGAGGGAGTTAAGCACACCCAGCCAAAGTCACTGGTCATAATTCTGTTTTATGATCGCAAAAGGAGCTTTAACTCTCAAAAGCTTATACCTCCCCTCCCAAACCTTGTTGGTCTGTAAGATGCTTCTAGATTCGAATCTGGCTCTCCTACCGCAGATGAACACGGCTACTTTCCTGCAACTATGATTGTAATAATGAAATCATGGGGGGGGGAAATCCTAGAAAATGAACAGCAGCTTCGGCTGTGAGGGAACAAAAATGGCACTTAAAGCCCTCCATAACAGGACTTGGTAATTTACAACTAATTAATAAAGCCTGAGAATTAGCCTGCTGCAAGAGAAAATGGGACCAATTAAGTTAGAAGAAGAAGAGAAGAGATTGGATTTATACCCCAGCCTTCACTACCCAAAGGTGTCTCAGAGCGGCTTACAAACTCCTTTCCCTTCCCCACCCCACAAGAGACACCCTGTGAGGTAGGCGGGGCTGAGAGAGCTCTGACAGAACCTGCTCTTTTTTCAAGAACAGCTCTGACAGAGCTTGTGACTGATCCAAGGTCATCCAGCAGCTGCAAGTGGAGGAGTGGGGAATCAAACCCGGTTCTCCCAGATTAGAGTCCGCACACTTAACCACTACACCTAAGGAGGGAAGTTGAAAGGAAGAATAAACCCTAAGAAACCTCAACAGCACTTTAACTGGCCGCATGGAAAAGCCTGGCACTGCAGCTAGCCGAGGAGTTTAAAAGAATTAGCCTGAAAGAAAGATGGGGAAGCACGACACAGGAAGCACTGAAACGCCAGGGGACTGCTAACAAAGGTCACCAGGGCTGCTCACAAAGATGGAGAGCACAGCAATCTCAGACTAGCAATACAAGCCGAAACGTGCTTTAACCCCCACGGAAACCAGTGGGTTTAGAAGGGTGTCACCCCGATTAGGACTGCCCTGTAAATGGCTGCTGCAGAATCCCTCCTTGGGTTTGCCTGGACGATAATGACACCGGGAACACCCAGCTCTTCTAACACGAGAGCATCCCAAGTGGCCAGATTTAAAGGGAGACCCACAGGCTTCCTTTGCTGGCTATATTAAAATATTTATATCTCCACTCTTCGGCATGACTCAAGGCGATTTGTGAATCACTAGCTAGGCTGAACAGGGAATTTCAGTCAGTGCAGCTGGCGGTACGTGGTGGGAAAGCCTGCATTGCCCTCTTCTAGCTGTTTTCTGCCCCACTGTGTGCTGCGCTCTCCCGTGGAGCCCAGCCGTGTCCTGCTGTAAATGCAGGGGGGAAAGTGCTGAGGCGGTGGAATGGGGACTGAGCAAATTCGGGCCGAGTCCAGATTCAAATGCCTCTCTGTGTAAAATATCCCTGTGAATACAAGACCAGCACAGCCAGGAGAGAGGTTCTGTTCCCAAGCTCTTCGGTTTGTGTTTATTAAAAACATTTACACACACCTTTGCTTGAGGTTCAAGGCGACTTACAATAACTACAGTTAAAACCAGAATTAAGGAGCCCAATGCCGCCACTCAACCCACCCCTCAAAACCCCTGGCCATAACGGGCGGTCCCGGCAGCACCTCCTGAAGACCTCCGAGGGGGACTCTCCCTCACCTCTTCCTGGAGCCCCATTCCACAGGGCAGGAGCCACAATGGAAAAGGTGCGGGCTCCCGTCAATGCTGGACGGGCTACCCTAAGCGGTAGGGGAGCCATCAGATGGCTGCCTGAAGACCACATCTGGCACTAGAGATGTAAAATTTCCAGAAATTTTGAAGCTCGGAAAAAAACCCAGTTTTCCCCGTTTTTTTCTGGGGAAAAACGGAAATTTTCGGAAAAATTGAAAAAAATGCTACATTAGCATTTCTTTTGTCTTTTCTATATTGAAAGTCATTCTGTCGCTTTAGGAACATAAAATATGACTATGGATGTTTTACTTGGCATGAATTTATCACAACTAGCATATTAAAAATATAGTGTATCCAAACAATTACTACGAACAGAATACCAACCCACATGCAAAAACAAAACTGAAACCTCTTTCTTTTCTTCTGACAATAGCACCTCCTAAAGGAAGAAATGCATCTTGTTCTTGCATTGGAGAGTTCAGTTTGTAACCTAGGACTTGCTTGTCCTCAGTGCACAGAAATTAGATCAATCTGATACCATATATATATATTTTAGAAATGATTTGAAAAATATTTGAACACCTTGTCTTAAAATATTGTATTCATCATGTTAAAATAAAACGTTCCATAATCCTTTTTTCTTTTCTTTTTTCAATTTTTCGGAAAAAAACAAAAAAGGCTTCAGGAAAAAAACTGAAAAAAACTCGTTTTTTCCCGAATTTTTCTGGTTTTTTTCCGGGCTTTCACATCTCTGTCTGGCACGCAAGGACATATGGAAGGAGACTGAGTTTTCTATCTGCACCCGCTTTTTAATGCCAGGCAGTATTGACGGTGGTGACCTACGCACCCCATTCTACCCCCTGAAGTCTCTACTACATCGTTTTGCTGTATGTTTAGACCAGGTTTTAAAAAGCACATACTGAGAGGAAGTTACCAAAATAGTTCTCTAGGTATTAAGGAGAGGAAAACGTCTCTGGGGAAAAACACCCCAAATTTGGTATTAAAACATTAAGTGCAGTACTTACTGAAATGCTAGAGGCCTTCTTGTGTGGAACAGTGCCGACTGGTGGTCACTCGCAATCCAAAGTGGGCAGTGCTGCTAAAGCAGAACTTGGGGGCACTTGGCTTAGAGAAAGCACGATTCAATCTTAATGGAGCTTGGAGAGATCTTTGGCTCTCTTGTACTGTGCTGCAGTGCCACCTCCCGGTCAGATGGTGAAGTTTGCTCCCCCCCCCCCCCCAACCCTAGTGGCAAATCAGAAACTCCCTGGAAATTACTGGCCAAAGTAGACAGCTATGACTGTCTGGAGTTGCTAACCAATAGGTGGGGCCTGGAGATCTGGAATTACAACTGATCTTGATGACAGAGATCAGTATCCCTGGAGAAAATGGCTGTTTTGGAGCGTGGACATTATACTCCCCTGAGGTCCCTCCCCAGGTTCCACCTCCAAAATCTCCAGGAATTTTTCTACCCAGAGTCTTCCCTACTGTATTTAAGCACCATAGCTTCACTGATCACTTGGTAAGGGTCCGCGGATCTTACAGCACTGTGTTTTGTCACTCTGTTTCCTTTCCTTGCGGTGGCTCAAGTGGTTAAGACGCTGAACTGCAGGCTGTGGAAGGTCAGTCGTTCAGCAGTTCGAGACCCGGGTGCCGCATGACGGAGTGAGCTCCCGTCTCTAGTTCCAGCTCCTGCCAACCTAGCAGTTCGAAAGCAAGAAATTGCAAGTAGATAAATAGGTACCACTTCGGTGGGAAGGGAACAGCGTTCCGCGCGCCTTGGTGTTTAGTCATGCCGGCCACATGACCACGGAAACGTCTTCGGACAGCGCTGGCTCTTCGGCTTGGAAACGGAGATGAGCACCGCAACCCTAGAGTCGGATTCGACTGGCTTTCGAGCAAGGGAAACCTTTACCTTTTTTCCCTTTCCCCATCCAGATTCACAGGTGGCCTTTTACGTGAAGTATTCAGAAGGACGAGAAGGACCGAACCTCAACAGAACGTATCTCAATTACGGAGAAGGGTATTTCCCTGAGCACGGCTACTTCAAGTCCCCTCACAGTGGTGTTTATCTGGTTGCTATCAGCATGGAGTCCAGCCCAGGAATGGCTCTGGGACAACTGGTTTTTAGCAACGGGCACAGAATGACAGTAATGGGCAGTAAGAAGAGGAAGGGACAGGGAGGTGGTACTGTGACGGCTTTTGTGCTGGTGGAGCTCAAGAAGGGGGAGCACATGTGGTTTGAGCTGCTGCAGGGTTCTACGGTGACGCAGAACCCAGCTGGGATGAGCATGGCCGGGTTTCTGATATTCAAAACTTGAAAAGGGGCTCCGGGGTAATAACTGGTCTCTTTCCCGTAAGCCACACAGAACTACCGAGTGTGCGTATTTTCAAAGGTAGTCCTGCCCTTGGTTTGACAGCGTGCCGCTTTCTAGAAATAGCCCAGTAGTTGCTTAGTGTTGTCACGCAGCATTGAGAGACCGGCAATGGAATTGACTGCTTTTCTTCCAAGCGCTGAAGGAAAAAGCTTTCGGTTCCCGTGACGGACCGCATCTTTGATCTCTACCCTCCGCTTTAGGACCAGAGAAGGAAGCAATCATTTTTACTAGAGAAGCAATTCCAAGCATATGCATTTTTATGTAATTCAGTGCAGGTTAGGGGCCCTCTGCCAATGCTCCCTCTAAGCTGTGGAGTCTTGTGAGCAAAAATTCTACTTTGTGAGCTACTGGCATTAAAGTTGTGAGCGAGCGATTTGGCTGCTGCATAAATTAGTTTGCTCTGGAGCCATCCTTCCTGAGCGAAGACAAAAATGTGTGAGCCGGAGGCTAAAAAACTGTGAGCTGGCTCATACTAACTAACTTTAAGCAAGGAATCCCCTAAAGTCCTTCCCCTACCAGCATACAGTAGGTGGGCGTACGGTGCTAATACAACCATCCTAGGAGTCTTTTCTACTCAGCTTTCCTGGCTTCTTAGACACTAGTAAATCTGTTGACACCTAGCTTTAGAACAATCAATGGCTAGTCCTATATTGTGGACACTACCGAACAGCAATGCTCCCTCTAAGCTGTGGAGTCTTGTGAGCAAAGATTCTACTTTGTGAGCTACAGTCTGGCATTAAAGTTGTGAGCTAGCGATTTGGCTGCTGCATAAATCAGTTTGCTCTGGAGCCATCCTTCCTGAGCGAAGACAAAATTGTGTGAGCTGGAGGCTAAAAAATCTGTGAGCTCACACCTCTTAGAGAGAACACTGCCGAAGAGGAGACTAAAACGATCCAGTATTTGAATTGTGTGCCTTAATGTGGAAATAAATTGCATTCGCTAGATGTACAGGATGACCAAAACAGCACAAACTAGCACAAGATGTGTTTGCTGTGATTCCTGACGTTTCCTATAAGGGAACTGCCACTGCGGGGTTGATCATAAACTGACTGGATTAAAAATTCTTTGCCCACACAACTGGGGTACAAATAGAGAATATTTACCAGTTTGAGATTTCAAGCGAACAAACACAGTCACTCTTATGCCTAAGAAATGTAATGCAGTCACATCACAGTACCTAATTACGTACAGAGAGAAATACAACTCATACATACTTGACACTGTCCTTTATATCCCAAATTTTGTGGTTTGCTTTGCAGACTGTAGTGTTTCACCCGAGCTCAAAAATCGTAAAGGCTTCCACTGCACTCGCCTCGTTAAGTATTTAAGCAGCTCCCTGGAGGCACAGAAAACTTTCAACATCAAATAGTGATTTCTCAAATGCATTAGTAGGGACCATTAAACTTTAAATCCTTACTGGGCGTGCTCCCAAGCTCATTTTTGTTTAGTACTGCACAACGCTAGATCCTGCCCCTTGTGAATATCAGTTTTAACATTATCAACGTGTACTTTTAGAAAATTAAACTATTCCTTATTTTTAAATAAAGGCTACTATTTTATATCGATCGTGTGAGGTTCTGTTTTTGCTTCGGCAGTCTCACCTTGAGAAATCCTTTAATGAAACTGGGCACCATCGTACACAGAGCTCGCTGCGCTTCAACTCACTTGTTTCAGTGGACTTTAACTGCATTCACAAGTTGCATTACAGTTGATTCATGTTAGAGAACTGGGTAGACACTGCCTTCCACCCCTTCCAAATCCATGTTGTTGTTATTCGGTCGCACAGTCGAGTCCGACTCTTTGCGACCCCATGGACGACATCATGCCAGGCCCTCCTGTCTTCCGCCGTGCTCTGAAGTTTGCTTAATTTCGTGTTCGTTGCATCGATGACACTAACCATCTCATCCTTTGTCGTCCCCTTCTTCTTTGACCTTCAATCTTTCCCAGCATCAGGGTCTTCTTCTCCAGTGAGTGCTCTCTTCTCATTTGGTGACCAAAGTATTTGAGCTTCAGCTTCAGTATCTGGCCTTCCAAATCCACAGGCACCTACAATTTCAGGAACTGACACACACTTCTGAGGATTTAGTACATAAAAGCCAAGATGGTTTGGGCACTGCCAGCCTTTGCATGCCACATCCAGCCACAGGACACTGCAAGGACAATGGAAGCTGTATTCTAGGCCAGGCTCTTAATCTAGTGAGGTCCAGTTGGCCTGGCCCCTCTACTGTAAAAATGGAGGGCAAAACCCACTGGATTTCGATGGCTAGATGCTCAGTGTTGCTGGAAAGATAAAACCAACATGAAAAGAGATCTCTAAAGGTAGAAAAGTCTGAAAACCACTGTGTAATCAGTTACATGATAGTGTCAAGGCTGTAACAACTTTGGCAGAGCCCACAGCTAGGGATGGGCACAAACCAGAAACATGTGGTTTGTGTCAGAACCATGAACCAATCCACTCAACTGAACCGAACGGTTTGTTTGTGAACTGATTTGTGGCCCTGCAAACCCTGTTGCAAGGGACCACAGTCCCTTTGAAAGGGGTTTGCAGAAAGCCCAAAAAACAACTGAGCACTCAACTGTTTTTTGGGCTGTCTTCTGCAGTCCCTTTAAAGCTCAACTGTCTTTGCAGCTTTCACAAGGAACAGTAGGCAGGGGTTCAAAGGGACTTGGAGTCCCTTTAAACCCCTGCTTTCTGCTCTATCCATGAATCGCCACGAACTGCTTTCAAAGTTTGTGGAAGTTTGTGACGGTAGACCCATTATGAACTTCTGTTTACAAACCACAAACAGGGCAACATTTGTGATGAATTTTGCTTTTGTGGTTTGGTTCGTGCCCATCCTTACCCATGACAGAAGAACATCCCAAAACCACACCTGCACCTCTAGTTCTGTCCCTGTCCTTTGTAATCAGGAAGATCCCAGGCCATGTTGTGATCAATGTGTGTTTGGACTCGCTTTGCGCCATGCTGACATTTGACAGAAGGATGCTGTTGTGAGCAGAAGCTCAATACAGTGCTGCTCTGCACAGGGATTCAGTTGTCTTCCTCTTCTCATCAAGACGAAATGCAACAGCTTCTCATAAGGCACTCTGGTTTGGATACCCAAGGACAACTGTGCGCAGTACCACAAGTGTCAAAGGCGTGCACTTGTTTTCTGAGTATCACGTCACCCTTTCAAATGAACCGAAGTGGTAAACGATTTGGGAACTCATTTCTGTGCATCTGAAAAGGGCATTGTAATGATTCCTTGTTTTAGAGAGTGTGTGTGTCTTTTAAGTGTTTGGTTGGAGTACAGTGATAGCACAGTAGAGTGATTGAGGGAGACAAGTGTGCTGTGATTGGTGGATGACAGAGGGTGGGAGGAGTTGTTTGGAAGGAATCTGTGAGTGTGTCAAATAAGTCAGTGATGAAAGTCAGTTAGAGAAAGCAGTGTGAGTTTTGAGTTTGAGTCAGAGAGAGATATTCAGTTAGTGAATCTGCCAGTGAGTGATGACAGAGTGCTGTGTGGAAACGTAAAGTGTTCCGAATATATGCCTATTGAAAGAGAGATTCTTGTTAGAGAAGGATCTTGTGATCAAAAGACTGTGTATGACACCCTGCCAGTTTATTTTTCCAGTTTCTCTTCCCCATAACAGTTACAGTTAACCTGCAACTCATTTTTGTTCCAAAATGTAATAAGTCATATTTTGTTTGAGTTTAACCCAGAATTCAGTTTAATCCTTCCTCAGGGCTACAGAGACCCCTGAAAAGCCCAGACTCTAGGTCACTTTACCAATAGGTAATGAGAGATTATTTGAAATTTGTTTAAATTCCTGGTGGCAGCAGAAACTACCCTGCTTGTGAACACAAAGTATAATTTAAAGTGAAAACCAGTCCTCCTCCCCAAATAAGAGGACGCCACAGGCGTTCTGTGTTTCAAACAAGCATGGCATGCTTTGGAACATGCACTTTGTGATGTTCGTATTTACTGGACAAGTAACTTTTTGAGATCCAGTCTTTAAACATACCTGCTTTCAATACATATTTTAAAAGGCACAGGACGCCACCCATGCGTGCAGACTTTTTAAGCATCAATATGGAATTCACAATAAACAATTACTAGGATTTACTAAAATAAGATTATTTACTTAAAAATGATACATTGACATAAATTTGTGTACACAACAGAGCAAATCATGGTAAACTTAAGGCACCTTTTTAATCAGATGCTGTACAAAAAAAAAGAGAGAGACACTTTCAGCCTGTTAACATTTAAAAACATTCTACACTTCTGGCATATGTAACAAAGCAAAAAGTATAATCATACTGCTCATTTCGCCCTTTCCTTTCTTATTTACATCTCCTATAGGTTAGCTACGTGATTCTTCTCTGTATACAATATAGTACATTTTTATATTGGGGGCACAAGGAAGTCAGAGCACAAAACATGAATACAGCCTGTGGGCTTCTCTATTGCATTCAGGGGGCACTACAGGAGGAGGCGACACTTCAGTGAGATGATTCCTCAGAGAAGAAGATAAGTAGTGTTCAATACATTTTATGCGAGTCCCCAACCCCAAGGCATCTTCTAGAAACAATCCAGAATGAACTTTGGCACAAGCCTAAGATGAACAGGCGCTTCGCGTAGGAGTGTTGGCTGACACAGAAGACCTGACACTGAGACTTGTGCAACAAAGGGCAACCTGCTTCCCCTCGTTATAAACTTCTGGACTCTACAATAATGGTTGGTACCCAACTACTGTCCCTCTTAGAGCAGCAGGAAGGTGATCCTATCCTGACTCCCCTTCTCGTCTCAACCTTTCCCAAGAAAGGTTTCCCTCCCCCTCAGCAACGCCTTTGTGGAAGCCACACAAGGTTGCTGGAGAAAACGGAAGGGGATGGAGAGATCCACTTCTGCCGATGGAATATTCTGCAGGATACAAGCCAGTGGGTTTGGAAAATGCATCACGAGGGTTGGAGAGTGTCAGAAACTGCCTCGGCCTAGCTTGAGATGGGACTACTAGAAAAACGCTCGTTCAAAATGTAACTTAATGATTTTTATTGAAAACTGTCCAGTGGTGGTCCTTCTACACTTAACTGGGAATAACACGGACTTAATCCTGAATTTAGTACTTCATGTGAAAATAATCAATTTGGCATTTAAAGCTATAAGTCAGATAACGTTGCCTATTAGCCCTTGGTTGCAGTTGTATTTGG